TGTTTTATTGTTTAGAGAGTGTTGAGAGATTAACTTATTACTAATTTGTGAAAAGTGTTCATTGAATGCATCAGCTATTTCTTGTGGGTCTTGTACAGTTTCGTTTTTGTAGTGGAGCTCTGTATTTTTTCTGTTATTATTAGTTGGTGCAGTAGTTATTTTAATAATGTCCCACATAGCTTTTGTTTTAGTACATGCATTTGCAATGTACTTATCATTTGTTATTACTTTTTGCTTGTTTGATTCCTTTTTTTTAGGATCGAATTATATGTTTTGTAATATGAAATGAAGTTGGAGTTACATTTGTTATTTGTTAGTATTTTATACATGTGTTTTCTTTCACATGACACTTTGATGCCTGTGGTAATCCATGATTTAGTTTTCTTATTTTGGATCTTTTTGAGGGAAAATGGCATTGAAGTGCCTTAAGTATATATTTATGAACGAGTTAAACTTATCATTTGTATCGGTTGCCTTGTATACTTCATTCCAGTTTTCAAATCTGAGTAAGTTTTGAAATTTTATTATATTTCCTTGGGAATAGTTACGGATTGTGTATTCCTTTGTGATAGTTAAACAGAGTTAAAAATACTTATGACTGTAGAGTCATAACAAACTGAGTTTGTTATTCAGTTTAATGTCTTCTATAAGAATACTTTTTTGTGAGAGTGAATATTCTTCTTCTATTTTATTCATGTGCTGTTTTCTGCAGGAAATTAATTGTCTTCTTTTCTTTCTATATCTGTCAGAAATGTGTGATTGTCTGGATACAATATTGTTTTGATTTGATGTTTTCTGTTTGTTTGTAATCCTTGACAGATTTTGGCTCTTCGTTTTCTGATCATGTCATGGCATATAAATGAAAAAGTGGTGGTGTGCCCTTGTCTGCCTCGTATAGTTTGAATCGGTCATGTATTTTGGTTGCCAAGACTTATTGTTGTGAACTCATACATACTTTTAATTCTTTTACTACAAATAAATAAACAAACAACGAGAGATCTACAAAGATTAGATGCAGCTCAGATGATTCTACAATGTCTGGGCCAATTAAAAAAAAAAATAGACACAGAATTGGAAGTCATCAGAAAAAATTTGAAGAAGAAATGTGTAAAGATATAAATAAATTCCAAAGAAAAGGATTGAAACACATGAAAAGGTGGAAGAAAACAGAGTACCAAAGCTAGTGTTGAAATACCAGCAGACAGGCAGAACAAGAATGAAAAAGAACAAAGAAGAAATGGAGACAACAAGAACACCTGATGAACTAACAACCACTCTACTGTACAGGACCCACTTATGCACACACACCACCTGTCCCCAACAATTTGAGATAATGGTGGTGGGTGGTGGTGGTGATGATGATAACGATGCTAATAACAAAGATAATTTATACAGAAAATACATACAAGCCTAGGAAATTGGAAATGGTTATTTGCTATTCTATAGAGCAAGGAGAGAGAGACAATAGCAGGCAATATCTTGATGCTTGTTCCTTGTTTCCAAGAAATACCTTGGCTATTACAATCTTTCTCTCTTCTTACTTGCTCAAATCTGAAGATGTACTAGAAAACTCAAGGTGGACACTAAGCTGGGATAGTGCAATTACCATAATCAGTTTCACATGATGATAGGAGTGTGGCTTCTGACAGAGAGAGAAGGAAAAACAAACGGCTTTCTTGATCAATGTTGCTATTCACCTTTCTCGCAAGTTGTAAGGAAGGAAGGAAGGAAGAAAGGGAGGGAAAGAAAAATGAAAAGGAGAAAGAAAAAACAGGGGACAAGGCAGGAAATACAATCTTAATAGCAGAGATTAAAAAAAGGTTGTACTGAAATTAGAAAATATCAGAGTACTTGTGCCATTCATTTCGGCATTAGTGATTGCACTGAAATCTTTGTTTCCTGTATTGAATTTTGTGTTCATCTAAGATTAAAAGTATATGTAGTTAGATAATGTCCAAAAAATAATCCTATGGGATCCATACAAATAAACAGAAATTAAAATAATTAGGTGTGTTCAGATGGATGGATAGAATTCTGAAATTTATGAGGGAGGAGTGTCATGATCCTTTCACTTTTCATTCCTTGTAGTAAGGTTAATGTTATGATTGTTAGTTATAAATATTATTACAATCGCCTACAGATGTCTTAGAATATCATCAGCAGAAATTGATTTGTTTTACTGTTATGAATTATACGGCCATTTGTTTACATACTGCTATTGATTATGTTCCAGATTGTGAATTTCATTGTAGGTTTTAATCTGCTTTGAAAGACTAAAGCTGATGTTACAGTTGTCATGTTTTCTTTCTTTTGCAGTGGTTCTGGACATGGATGATGGTACCCTTTCCTTTGTAGTAGATGGACAGTACTTGGGAGTTGCATTCCGTGGGCTGAAGGGTCGAAAATTGTATCCCATTGTGAGCGCAGTTTGGGGTCACTGTGAAATTACTATGAAATACATAGGAGGGTTGGACCGTGAGTATTATTCTAAATATTTTGCTTTGATTGTGTTATTCAAAAGTGTGTTAATTTTTCTTCTCTTTATCTTCTTAGTGAATTAATTTTTCTTCTCTTTCTCTTCCTAGTGTATTAATTTTTCTTCTCTCTCTCTTCTTAGTTGCTACTAAACAGAAATGTGTAGTTGATTCTATGATTCATTACTTTACTTGCTATAAGGGGTTCTTAGAGAATGCAATTTTTGAGTTCCCGTAACCTTATGATGAACAGTATCCAAGAAAGCAAAATCATCTGAGAAATGGTTCCCCATAATCTTGCTCATATCATCACTTTATACTTTCTTGTTTATATACATACACACAGAGTAGAGCAAATGTGGAAAATGCTGTGGAAAATAGATTTTGAGATTTCCATGAACCATGCTAGTGTCTAAATTATTTTCAGAATTTTTTCCAAAATGATTATTCCATGGTTGATCTTGTTCAGCTTGAAACACTGTGATAAAAAAAAACAAAAAAAACTGCCTTTAAGTTTTAGGGGTTCTTTACATGAATTCCCTGAGAAATATTCTAAACTTTCAAAAGTTTCTCAAAAATGGTTCCAATTTTTTTCTTTAACATTCTTGTAAGAATATAGTGAAGTACCCATATAAAGATTGCATTGGTCCAATGTTCACTGTAAAATTTTTGAAAATTGCAAAAGTTAAATTTTTTCATTGTCTTCCTACAATTACAATAATGAAGAGAGCAATTTTTTTCTTTAAATTAAATTTGTTCTCCACAATTAGTTCTTTAATTATTATCATATATATTAATTTTCATTTATTTATTTATTTTTGAAACTTTCTAGTTTTCCCTACTTTTGAGTGAAATACGGCAATATTAAAAAATATAAAAACAAGATTTTCTCATCAAATTTTTTTCTTTTTGTATGGCTAGTGCATGCTAGCTAAATGCATTATACAATATAGTCTAAATCCCATTTTGCTGTTTTCTTGTTTTTTCAAAATTACACAAATGTAATATTTTTCATATCTCTGACACGTCAATAATATTTACATTATTGGCAATTTGTTTACATTATTGCATTTGCAAGTTCAAGTGCTTCAAATGATTATCTGATAAAGTTTCTTGAAAAATGAAAAGTTTTCTTTGAAAGTTAGCTCTAAATTTGCGCTTTTCTGATACTATCAAATGCCTTTGTTTTCAAGATGGATTTTTCTTTGTTTGTTCTGTATAGGTTTGGTGCACTAAATGCAGGAAGTGCATTGAATAACATGACATCAATTCTACATTGATTTATTCTTGGTTTTTTAAAAAATTACACAAACGTAATTTTTACTTACCCGTAAACATACGTATATACAGAGTAATATACATAGTATGGTGAAAGTTATGTAATGCTGCAGAAAATCAGTTTGGAGATTTCAATGGATATACACGCTTTTGGGTCCCCTGATACCAAAAGTGTTATTTTCCAAAACATGTGTCTGTCCATCCGGTCGGCTGTCTGGTGTATGTGAAGAACACTTAACACCTAACCATATGTAGGATTTTTTCAAATTGAAAAACTCCTGTCGGTCTATCTGTTGAAAAGTAGTCATTAATTTTTGGGGGTACTTTACATGAAGTCCCTGCGGTGTTTTCAAAGTTTTCTCAAAAACGGCTCAGAATTTTTACTTTAAATTTCTTCTAAGAATAGAGTAAAATGCCCTTATAAAAGTCAATGCAAATTTTCATGGTTAAATCTGAATTTTCAAAAATTGCAAAAGGTTGAATTTTTTCCGCGTCTTCCTAAAAGTACAAAATTGTAGAGAGGTTTTTCCTTCATATAAAATTTATTCTCCATGGTGAGTTCTTTCATTAAAATCATGTACTTTTTTTGTAAATTTTAGTAGTTTGCAAGCTGTATGTGCACAAAACTTTTGTTTTTGTTTTACAAAAATGTAATTTTTTTGCTTGTCTCTCACATCATTAATATTTATATTCCCAGCAATTTGCTCACATTATTATATTTATGTAAATAATAATGTAATATAAAGTATCTTAAAGACAAAAAACAACACAAATGTACTTTTCTTTTTTTTAAAGATTTCTTATGCCGTTAATATGTACATTTCTAGGAATTTGTAAACACTATTGTATTTGTGTTTCAAATGAAGTTTTTCGAAAACTCAAAAATTTTCTGTGAATGAGCTTCAAATTTTGAATTTACAGTGGCGCTTAAGCACCAGTTTCCTAGAAACGGCTCCAAAATTTCTCAAAGAAAATTTCCATTTATAACAATGTGGTACTGTTCTTTAATATTCTTAAAATAATATTTTGGTTCTACTATTAAGAAACAGAAAAGTTAAGAAAATTTAAAAAATGTACTTCAGGCAGTGATAGATGGCAGCTGGTAAGAGTATATGGCAAGATTATACAGCTAGCCAAGACCTAAGGAAATAGAAAACTAATATGGGAAAGTCTGCCATTCTGTAGCACCACTAGTTTAAAATGTCTCTCACATTAATATTTACATTATGGGGGCTTTCAGCATTGTTTATTTAACGTTTACATAAAAACGGCTTCACATTTTTCAGTGAAATATGCAAACAGTACATTATTTTATCCTTCTATAATATTCTTAAAATCATATTTCAGTTTTACTATTAGATACCTGAAAAATTCAAGAACGGTGAAAAGATGATGTTTTAGTCACCACTAGATGAGAACATAGAACAACCATATTCTACCCTTTTATAGTATTCTAAAAATTGTTTTTGAATTGTACTATTAGGTAACAAAAAAATTTGAGAAAATGTGCAAAAATGTGTTATAGCTGAGGTGGTTTGGAGGGGAGAAAAAAAAATGCACACACTAATTAGAAAAGGAAACTAACAAGTATGGGAAAGTCCATGCCATTCTATTGCACCACTAGTTATTTTAATTGTATTAATATAAAATACAAATTATGTTGGAAAATATAATTGGTGTTCATTCAAGCAATATTTAAAAATATTGATATAAACATTTTTAATAAATTTGATCCCTTAATTATAATGTACCCCCTGTAATTGTAATTAACTATCAATTATTTACCATTAATCTGAATTATTGGTCTTATTTCAGCTGAACCTCTTCCTTTAATGGACCTCTGCAGACGCGTAATCCGACAGCGAATCGGCAAGGATCGTCTTGAAGAACGCATTGCAAGCCTAAATCTGCCTCATGCAATGAAAGTGTACCTACTCTATCGAGATCGTAGATAACAGACTGAAGCAATAGTGGAACTAGAATGGCAGCATGCAACAATTCTCGCTCAACATTTCTGATAAGTAATTCTTTTATTAACCTACTGGTTGTCCATGAACTTAGCATTGTCGTGCTGCAGTCAGTGATTGTGGGGCAAATCGACAATTTCTTTTCATTCTTTTCCTTTCGTTTCTTTTCTTCTTTTTTCAATGAGTGATTCTAAAATATTGGAACATGGTTCATTCCAAGCTTTTGATACAGCTGGAAGAAGCTATATTCTCAGTCATTGTATGTGAACTGAAATAAATTGGAGGATACTCTTCAGTCGATTTTATTTTGTTGTTACATCAAGTATTCTTTATTTTCTTTTGAACTAAATACTTTGGAAGGAATTAATAGAATGTTGAAGCAAGTATGCATGCAGCATACATGGAGATTTTGTGGATAAGTTTGGCTATGAATGTTGTCTTTTGTAGTTAAGTGCTTCTTTGAAAGTACATGAAGGTAATGTGTGACTTAGTGTGTTTTGGGGAAAGAATGAAAGATATTTGTCTATCCAAATTATAAATGCTAGAAAAAATGCAATACAGTGTTTCATTGTAGAGATTTCTCAGTTCGTTTTTGTGTTGAAGTTGCACATAATTTAGGGACTATATGTGATGTACTGTGTGTGTGACCGTACTGTGAAGGAAGAAGAGAAGAAAAATTGTGAGAAGAACAGCAAATCTGAATGACTGTGTCTTTGCTTCAGAAATATGAACTGCATGTAGGGGCACTGAATATATATTTCTTAATATGTTGTTTTTGCATTGTGGGACCCAAATAGTTCTGTTTTCTGTGAAAACAGATGTTGAATTCATATTTCCTTTTGAAATGTGTCCGTACAGTGGACAAGATGACAGTGGAGTGAATATGAAGCCATTCAGCATAAAATGAAACTTGTATTTTCATTGTACGCAAGATTTGCAATGCACAACTAAATAGAGGTACAAGATACATTTCTGTACTTTAAAACTTGCAAAATTTTCATTATTGTTATTTTAGTTGTCAAAATATGTAATTCAAATATCATTTTGGTTTAAAAGAATATTTGAGAAAGGAAGACTGAAAAAGAATATTTTCAATGGGTAAAAGAGACCTGAATTCTTCCAATAAAATAAATTGTAATTATTGGTAAATTAAGTAGGTACCTCTATTTCTCATATTTTAATGTCTGCAAACAGAATAGAAATTATTTATGATAGACTGCCCTGGTTTTGTCAGAATTATCATTTTAGCATGCAAAATGCTTCCTGACACAGAGGCTTAGCCATCACTCATTATGTTGTATGGTTTTTTTCCCTGTAATATTAAATTTGTTGAACATTTTATTGTTACCTAGAAGCTTCATATTGAAATTCATATTCTCTAGCCTACGTCCATAGTAAATATTGTCAGTTAGACAAATTATTTTATTCTTTATTTGTATAATTTTCTCATTCACCTGTTTTAAAGTTAAAAGGTTTGGTTTTCATTTATTGAGAACTTATTTTGTGTTAAAGAATGTGTGAAGTAAAGAGATGTATTGATAATTATAAATAATTCTGGCAAATTTTTGCCCTACCATCTTGCTAGATTGTAACCTGAAAATGAATATGAATGGAGTCTAAAATAGGAGGTCAGGCATCAAATAAAAGAAAATTAAACTGTTATTATTATTATTATTATTATTTAAAAATATCAGCATTGTATTGTCTGAAGAAGAGTGCATTAATGCTTACAGTATTGATGGAAGAAATGCTAAAATACTTACTACTAACCTTTCGTTACTTAGAACCATTTTGAATCTACAGAATAAAATAATTTTTTTCTCAATACCCATTTTTGACAGTCTACTCAAATGTTTTCTTCTTATAATTGTCTGTACATTACTTTTATTTTGTTCATCTTTTAATATTTATGATTAACTCTTTTCTACAATATTTCATAAACAAATCCTTACTGTTTAGACTGAAGATTTTTGCCATGACACCTAGTAATAGACGTTGACATATGTAGAAGTTCTATCATAAAGCTCCAAAAATAAGTCACAGAATGGATTTGGGTGTATGAAATGGAGGAGAAAAGATGAATCTGTTAATAATGAATAAGTGTAATGTGTGGTGATTCAATTCCATGTAATGAAGATTAAATTTAATTCCGTGTTATGAAAGCAGTAAATATGTTTCTTAAGAATTTGTTTTGTAAAACTGTATTTCTGTTACAAGCAAATGTGATAAAGAGTATATGAAGGTCCATCCATTAAGTGCACCAGTAGACAAACGCGTGTGCCATTTCATTACTCAAAAGAAAAAAAAAAAGAAAAAAAGCTCAAATGTTCAAAGAATACCTAAACTGAGTTTAATGAACAAAAACCTGTGGACATTTCTTTGAAATTGTTTTGAAAGATAAAACAAATGTTATTGGGCAATTTATTGTTTTCATTAAATAAAAAAAAATAATTTATCTCCACTACAGAAACATACTTTTTGTATTAAAATGAATCTGATAGCTTCAATCCTTATTTCCACACACTTTTCTGTGAAATTTGTCCAAGTTTCTTTTAATTTTAACTCATAAATATTTATAATTTTGCTTTTATATATGTGTAATGTACATTTTTATTAATAGAAACTGAACAAGTTAAAAAATATATAATACCCTGACCTCCCTTTTGATATCCTTCCTTATCTCAGAAAGAAAATAGATATAAGCAGTAGTCTTATATATACATACTTTGCCCCCCTACGTGGAATTCAATGCATAAGTATTCTTTCCTTTGTTTAATTGTCAATGATCAGAGTCTCTGAGATTTAACTTGTATGTTATAAAATAATGTTCTGATAGTTCCTGTTTGAGTTACATATATTCCAATGACTTCCATTTTATGTTGCCTGTGTTAAAAGTTATGTTAGTTTCAAAAAATATCTACCTCATAATACCAAAGATAAAGTTTTGTAGAATGTAACTAGTCTGTTTTTGAACTTGATAATGTAACAAGTTCACACGGTGCTACTACCTTATTTTTGGGTCATTGTTAGACCTTGATTTATGATGTAGATTTTGAATCGTAAACCTTACTTTTTGACTGAAGTTTTCCTTAACAATGATGGCAAAGTAGTAGTCTGCTTTTCAACAGCATCTGTAACTTCATTCATGACATTATTTCCTCCCAATTCTTTCTCAATTTCCCCCAATTCTTCCTCAATATTGCAAGACTGCAGAGAAGACAAAATTTGTATTTTCTTGGACATTTGTACTCCAGAAAAGTGTATGATGATTAATAATCTTTAAGACAAAGTTTTGAGAAAACAAACTCGTACAGTGAAATAGTCAAAATACTAAATTACCGTGAATGTGGTTCTAAAATGCTGCATAATTTAATTGCTAATAACTATTGGCACATTTCATCATGGCTCACTCATTTTTTTAAAAATTTTCTTCACACAGAAAATTAACGAAAGTCAAAGTCACTCTACAATCAAAGTCAGTGAAAATGTTAATCTGCGGAAATATTCCCATGAAAAATGAATGGAATATACAATGGAAAAATCTTACTGTTATATTCTTAAATAACCTCATCTCAAAATTATGATTTAAAAAATAAATACTTTTACAACATAGCCTTATATAGATTCATACAGTTGTTTGAAAATTTGGATAAGATTTTGTTTTCTTTCAAATTTCTTTTTATTTTCTAGTCTTGAAATTACTTTCTATTACATCATTTTGTATCTTTCATTTTTTCAGAAAGAAATTTAATTTGCAATTAAGTTGGAAAATTTATAATAATTTATAATGTAATGTGATGTGAGGTCAGTTTGGGTATTCATTGAACCAGATTATTGCAATTTTACTATAAACTTATATTTTAAAACTATACACCAATGAAATTGAGGTAATAAAGTATTGAGATGTATTCAAAGATGTACTGGAATTGAACAAAATGTATTGTAGATAAGCATTGGATTTATGCATGCAAGAATAAATGTTACATATATTAATTATACCTAATATATACAGAGGTTTCTACTCAGAATATTACAAGAAGTTGACACAGAAAGTGGTGTTACCATGGGTTAGGAACCTCTTATGAAATCTTGTGTTAACTTGCAGTAGAAACATAACATAATAATTAAATAGATGAAAGTACATTAGATGCCTTCAAGGATTCAAAAACAATCTTTAAATATTTGTGTTCAGTGTTTTGTGTCATTTGTCTAATGTCTTTCAAATATTAACGTATTGGGAAATCTTGTGGGCTTGAAAATACATTGGTTCATCCCCTTAAGATCTCAGTAGGGATTTTATTCGTATCTTGTGCGTATGTAAATCTTTTTATTATAAAATACATAAGGCAGTATACATTTTGTGTGAAAGTAATACTACACAAGATCTTGGTAGTATTTTCACCTTTAAACATCTGTAAATTTTCTGATCATTTCTACTTTTCTGAGATTTAAAGACAAAATTGAAAAAACAACATAGAGTATGATTCTGTATAAATCCATTGCACTGCTGTATGAATTGCATGATAGTATATCAGATAAGGCGAAGTGAAATTAGGAAAAAATAATATGCAGAATTTTTCTTCCCTTAGTTTCACTTATTGTTTTGTGACCTAATGAATTCTTGTAAAAATATTGACACACGCTGATCTTGAAAATAAAGAAAAACACTCCCAGTGAACATCACTATGAAAAAGTTTGTTTATTATTGTATGTTGTCAATGAAAACTTTTATTATGATAACATACTGTATAACCTTGCCAAATATTGATTCATAATATTCATTAATCCCTATTAGATTCTGTGTTTTTGTGTAGGAAAGTCTTGCTCTTACACTTGGAAAAACTTCAAACTGTTTTTAAAAGAAAATTGATCCCGTTTTAAATACAGTTGTCAGGTGAACAAAATACATAAGTGCAGAAAGTGTGTTAAGGACTTTGTACTATATAATATTCTGCAATATTTTTCTTCAGATGTATGAGTAAATGAATTCTTGAAATAATTATTGATGATTTTTTGTGATAATAAGTGATCAGCCTCATTGAAATATCTTCTTTGCTTTTCAGAGAGAAAAGAATGTTTATTGTACTGTTGTAATGCATGTTTATTGACCATTAATTTCCATGATTTTGGGTATTGTACTAGGTATATGGAATGAATTTAATCAATTTACTTTGGCAGGATTCAAAAGTATTGCACTGATATGAGATTTGTTTATGTAAATAACTTTAAACTTGATCATAAGCCCTCTGTGTCTAGGAATTGCATTTTTTAAGTCATAAATAAAGTCCTGTGTTGTATAAATTATATGAAGCATATAAAATTATGTAAAGGAAGGTGGGTAGAAATGTTCATCAAAAGCTTTTGATTGAACATAAAAAGAAAATTATGATTGTGTGACTGAATTCACTGATGAAATTTAGAGTGGTTTGTATATTAGACCATTTCAGTATGTGATACTCTGACCTATGGCTTCCACAGATGTCCCTTATCTACCTTCCAGTCTTGGATTGAATTAAGTGAAGGTGTAAAATCCAAAGAGACTTTTTTTGTAATGGGCAAGTGTCTTTCTAGGTTTTGTATTTTGAATTTTTCATATTTTGTTAAAAAGTAGTTGACAACGCAAACTGTACATTGAAACATGTTTGTCACTGTGACAACTTGCTGTATTAACCACAGTAGTTTCTGCTATGCCATTGAATACTGTAGGTCTGTTAGTATGTCATGAGATAATAGAGGAAAGAATGAGCTTATGGAGAAAATAAGTGAGCATCACATTGTCCAAAGGTGCCAATTATTGTGATTTCATGTGATTATCTTTCATTTTGAATATCCAATTTACCTGAAAAGTTCAGTTTCCAATAAATAAATCTGTTCAAAATGCTGAAAAAACTTGCAGAAAATATTACAATTCTAATCAATGAATAAAATGTTCAGTGCAACATGATAAAAGAAAGTTAAAAGAACTTGATTTCCAAAGAATGATTTTACTTTCTTCCAGGACAGGTACAAAGTACAATGTATATTGAATCTCAAGACTGCATTAAATTTGGTTCCTGCATTGCACTGACAAGCTCCACTCCTTACACTGACCCTGCAGTTAGTGTACTGTGTTAATGAGGACTTCTTTTATCATAAGTAGTTAAAATTAGGAGCTGCAACACAAAGTATTTGACTTGTAGTTTGTAGTATGTATAATGTGGCAGTTGTGAATTGGCAGAATGTACACACACATGAATGTCATGAATGGTATTGTGAATGGAAAAGATGTAAGAACCATACTTTGCATTGTGTGTGCTACTTTTAGTACAATATGCTGCATTTGTAAAAAACAGCATAGTATTGTTTGATACAGTTCATTTTGCACATTTTTTTTCAGAATTCTGTGGAAATATTTAATTTAGGAGTTCATTGGATGTATATCTTCATCAAATGCAGCTATGGAATTTGTCCGTGTTTCACTATGTTATTAACTTGTAATTCATATAATGAATAGATGTTAAATAAAATTTTAATTTGGTATTACATAAACATTTAATAAAAAGAAATTTTGAAAAGTGCAAATCCATGCATTTGTGTGTTTTTGTGGAGGGAAAAAAAACAAACAAAAAAACCTTGAATCAAGTGTTTTTGACATTTCACAACAGCTCTAATTTTAGAATTTTAAATTTTCATTTTTTCATATGCTAGTTTTCATGTATGCATACTAACTTGAAAATTAAGTCAAGCTGGCTTTACTCATTCATTAAATTTGGATTCAGCAAATTCAATTTATCCCAATACAATCAGTGAGGGCAAAACAGGTTATATTTGAAAAATTAACATTCGTTTAGTTTTTTGTTATGCTAGCAGAACCAAGCAGACATCCTGCTCTCTCTCTCTCTCTCTCTCTCTCCCTCTTTTTCCTTGTCTTTCTTCCTCCAATCTTCTCCTCCTGACCCCTTCTCGCCGACCCTGGAAAATATCCTCCTCTCTCTTCTCCCTCATTTTCCTCAATGTTGCTATTATCAAATATATGAAATTACTGATTTGATTTTTGACAGCAGCATCTGAAATTACAGATTTGATGCAAGTGGGAAGACAGCAAAAGTAAATTCTGGAGCGTTTGAAAACTAGAAATGAATACCTTCCTATAAAAAAGGACTTGAGTAATTGATTGTCATAACTTATTGTGTACTGAAACAATAGATTGACGAAGGATGGTATTATATGTTTAGAGATGAAAATAAACTAATAGAATTAAAATCCGTAAATTAATTTATTAAATTTGATACAAAGAGGTGATATAAATTAATGCAATTTTTTGACACACAAACAATTCATTTGGTTCACTTTCGTGCCTGCATCTCTTTTACCGAGACTTTTAGTCAATCTTCATTTTGCCTCATCTTCAAGATTCATAGATATTATTTGCAACCAACAGTCAAAAGCTTAGAAATGTGTCACGATCTTAGTTCAGATTTAGGTTCCCTGTAATTGAATCACGGAGGACATCAATTTTTCATTCTATAAAAATAAATTTAAGCACAAAGAACCTTTCTGAATACTCAAAATACATTAATTCATTAAAGGAATCAGAGAAAGGACAATGGAATTGAATATTCCTGAAAGAACATCAGATTGCTGGAGGTTCCACAATTCTCTTCAGTTATAAAATAAAATGTGAATGATTTCTTTAATTAATAATTTGTTGAACTATAGCAAAGATTAATATTTGATGAACTACAAATGCATGAAAACATTCCTGTGTATAACAGTGCAAATAAATCAGTCAAACTTTTTTCACTTATACACGCTACATTTTAATGTGAATGCGGATATGTAACACTGCACTGAACAAACTAACATTATCAGAATTTCTTAAATTCACAAGCACAACACCAAAGGAAGACACTGTAAGATGACATCAAATAGAGCCTACGAAGGTTTTCTGACCTGTGATATCCAATTCAAATCACATACAACTTAACTTGGTTATTTAAAAACTGCCTTCATTTACTCATCCTTCACTAAACACACACATATTTTTCGAAACACACTTCCAACAATATCAAGTTGCACATTATCTCGTAGTTCCCCTCTTTATAAAGATTCTGCATGTGTAATGTTTTCTGCCAGTCTTTAATGAATTAATCGGCAACTGCTCTGTCAAACACATTTCAACGCTTTGTATAAATAAATTTATTTAATATAACTGCAAATTTACTCCAAACTATGTAATGGATTTCCACACACTCGTGTTCCGCAAAATGCTGAACCTGAAATGAATAAATTATACGTTAAAATTAGAGGCTAAAATTTAGCGTACGATACAACCTCAGCAAGTGTAAACCCAACTATATACTCTTTGGTTTAAACCGACACTTTGTGCCGCTCCGGCGAAGGGGAAATCGACGGTGGAGGGCCGAGGGGTGTTCAGGGGATTATGAGGGGAATCTTTCTCAGGGTAGGGAAACTTGGCGGTCAAAACGGGGTAATGATTTTTGCGCCATCTACAACAGTTTCCGCATGAGCCGAACTAAAGCGTTGTGGACGTCATGCAATTCAAAAAGCTGGCAATGACGTAGGCGGTGTTTGTTTTCGTTACGTGGCAGGCTGCAAGCAGGTAGGTGCTCCTTTTTATCGAATTTTTCAGCGTTTTGTTAGTATGTAGAATGTCGTGCATTGTAAGTAAAGTGAATTATGTCGCGATATTTATTTGTCATGTCAAAACTTTGTTTTCAGTATTTTGGCAGATGATATTAAGAAACTGGTGCTAGACAAGTAACATTGCTAGGATTTTCACCTACCAGCAGTGGAGGTATTTATAATTCATTTTGGAATCTTGTTGCATAATTGTAATTGATTATTTAATTTCGTGAACATTTACACCATGCAAAATAGTCTTAAAAATCCGTAAATCCCGCTTACCTGTACATGTCATTTATTCGTTCTTATTGTTTAAAAGTATTGCTAGTTATATATGTCGTTATGGTATTGGACACGTTTTGTAATATGTTCATTGTATATCCATATATTCATTGTTTGCAATACCCTGGTATTCAAAATGTCTAAATTTTCAAATATACAAATTCATTATTGTTTTGCATTTCTAGAATAGGTACACTCTCATTAATGTATGATGAAAATGTATTAAGTTTATTTGCTTAGGTGTACGAGTTACGTTCCATTCTGGAGGTTGATCTTCGAGTTGCAGTATGATAACTGGCAAGATACAAACGAATTCGACTTCACTAACATTAGAAGATGGAATTGTATCACAGTGTTCCTACAAGCCTAGCCCTGTTGTCTTCTCAAAAGACATTTCAAGAAATCTTGTTACAAAGTGTGCAGTGAAATCTTTTTTTCCCTTGATGCTGCAAGTGCTGCTAGTTCGATATTATTTCAGCAATATATATTTCGAATAATAATTGCCTTGTTTAGAAAAACTTCCTAACAAGCACTGGAAATATATTAATAAATAATAAACAATTTGAATGTGACAAGTAAAAAACTTTCGTTTTCGAATGTGTAATAAAAAAAACTGTGTGTAATAAATAATATACCCTAAATATCTAACGTTTATTTTAAAAATATTAAGATAGGTTATAGATACTTTTTTGGATATTTCACATACTTCAGTGCTAAGAAAGGTTAATTATTATAGATGATTTTTAATTAAATGTAGCCAAATTTGAATTGCTAAATGAAACATCTGAACAATAAATCCTGTAATAATATTATTTGATATTATAGTAAAATCTAATGCCAATTTTTCTACTTATAACGTCAAAATTTGTCATTCGTAACAATCAGTATGTTCTGCCCATGTGTAGGTTTCAAGTGAGGATAGTTTGTGTGTGGACTTAGTGAAATATTGTCATGATGTGGCAGTAACCAATCGGGTAGCTACTAGAAAATAAAAAAATCTTGTATTGCTTGCTAAACAGAAGAAATCTGTGCCAGTTATTTATTTTAACGATTAAGATTGCCTAAAACTAGGAGAACTGGTCCAATTAAAATTGTTAGATCTTCAACAATTTTCATTTCATAAGGATTTTTTTTTGTAAAAATGCAATTCCTCTTTAATCCAGAAGCACAAGCATAGATATATTACGGATATAGTTATTATAATACAAGACGAAAAAACTTGCCAAGACATAAAACTACGTCTAATTTATAAATATTGTTATCATTTTGCTTTAGGTGTTGAGGATTAAAAATACAATGATGATATAGATATAGATATACAATTACAATTCTATTTTCGGCTATAAAGTCACCAAAAATTAAGGCTGGTATGATTTTCAATATGGATTTATAAGACAATGATAACTGATTTTAAAAATCTTGATTTAAGTTATTTTTCTAATATTAAAGTTATTACGAGATGAAGACTTAAATCATTACATAGTTAATACACTCATATTCATATTTCTTTAAACGTTTTCACATAATTGGAGAATTTTCGAGAAAAAAAAAATACATGTAAATAGTACATTAAAATGAGATGCTTTGAACATTGAACGCAATAAAGACTTGTAGTAGTTATTTACTAATGGATCTTGATGATATAATTAGTTTTTTATCTAGGCAATTTCCATTGTCTGTAGGATAATAGCAAATTTAGGAACAATAACCACATATCGGGAGCTCCGAGCTTGTGTGTTTCAGGAAAAACACGATAAATCTTTCAAGCATATTGTAATTCATAGATTTGGAAGTAAAATGTTTGCTAATGCTTGCTCAAAGTATAACATCTTAGAGAAAGATAAGACATTGAATAAAATGGAGATTTTATTGATACTCACTTAAGAAAAAAAATTAAGTACTTGTAAAAACTAATAAAACAGAATTATCTCTTACTAATTTTCAATAATGTTAACCTTTTTCCTTGTGTATATTGTAAAATACGCATTTAAGTGGGAAGGGAACAGGACAACTATTAAAGTAGAATTTTAATATTTCAAACTGTCCTAATAATTGTTGTAAGTTTTTTTGTGAAATACAGTTGTTTTTAGCAGCTAGGGACGGATTTTTTTTGATAAGAATAGTTCTTTTTATTGCCGGGCCAGTAGCTGGACGAGGTGGTTGCCTAAGGAACCTTTTCCATTTAAGTGACACATGAAGAAGTGATGAAAACTATAAGTTAACTCACATTTAAAGGATATTTGTGGGTTAAGGGCAGTAATTAGCACCAGACCCTCAAATGTTTTATAGCTATCTATGTGAATACAAAACACTAAAAGAAACAAAGGAAATGATACAATTAAAAGACTTCATGTTTTCACTTATTTTCCTGCTTTTAAAGTAATTAAGGATAAGTAAATCACTTTACAATTTTGCGCTTTTAAGTATAACATCTAATACAAATTTAAAAATTATATTTAAATCACATTAATCTGAATCATAAGAAAAGCAGATAATATCTTGGAATATATCTACACGCGCCACAATTAATTCGCAAACACTTACGTTTGAAATGCGCGCAAACGCACAGCATGCGCTATCTGCACCAGGTCGGTGAGTGAGGAAACAAACTTAGTCCCCCGCCTTTTAACATTGAGTGAACCGGCCCTGATCTTTCTGTGGGGAGG